ATTATTTCGATTATTTCGATTATTTCGATTATTTCGATTATTTCGATTATTTCGATTATTTCGATTATTTCTTTTATTTCGATTATTTCGATTATTTCGATTATTTCGATTATTTCGATTATTTCGATTATTTCGATTATTTCGATTATTTCGATTATTTCGATTATTTCGAATATTTCGATTATTTCGATTATTTCGATTATTTCGATTATTTCGATTATTTCGATTATTTCGATTATTTCGATTATTTCGATTATTTCGATTAGGTGATAGATTATTTGATTATATCTAATTTCTAGTAAAAATAATTAAGCGATAAAATATGTTTTTATATTCTTCTCTATAATAAATAACTATGGAAGAAATAATACAAATCTTACAAATCAATTACCTACTTCGACTGATCGATTATTTTCGATAAATCAATTATTTGCTTTTTGAAACTACCCTATTCATAAGGATAAGAATACCTGAAAATCGAGTAAAATCCAGGTCGATGGCAACGCTGTTGCCGTTTTCATTTATTTTTAAATTGGAGTTGGTTTACCTACCTTAAGATGATAAATTTCCTCTGACAACTGACTTAATATCAACCTTCCGTAATTTCATAACGAACTAAATTCACGTACGCCCGAAATATCAAGTTTAAAATAATAATGATTATTTTATAGACTCGCGTGGCAACATATTAATAAATTTAGAATTAGTAAATTATCAAAATGTCACGTTGAAAAATAATTTGCTTTTATTATCCGAAAATGGACTTTCCGTTTAATAAAGGTATGTAATAATATTCGTGTGATGAATAAAAATGGAAAAATTAGTTGATATTTCAGAATTAAATAGGTATGCTTATTTTAAATTATTCAGTCAAATCAAATTTATTTGTTTAAATTTTAAAGTACAATACCTGCCTAATAATGAAATAGAGTTATAAAGATATCTGAGCATCGAGTCTAGGCATTTCTGCTTAGTACCTTCTCTATTTATTTAGATTTTTGGGTAATTTCAACAGGGATAAAAATACATTTTATCCGAAATTTCACTGCTTTTTGATTGACTGCTATTTATTGCCTAATATCTTACAAGATAAATTTAAAAAATGGTGTTTATGCGATGAAAAATTCTTGTACAGGGTAAACTCAAATCAATCCCTTGCAAACCATCTCTAATATTAATTTTCCAAATTACATACTTACTCCTTATTCAATAGTCAAAACTGTAAACAATTAGATGAACTTAACATAGAAATTATTTCAGTAGATAACACAAAATGTACGCAAGTAATAGTCGTACATTGTTTCTTACAAAAAATAGTAAATATGTTTTTAACCAAATGTAATCTGACATTCCTGTGTTTATGTTTTTTTTTTGACGTTACATAATAAAAAACAATTTTATTGTTAAACATCTATTAGATAATTTCAACATCATACGACACAGCATAGAATATTAAAATAATTGCACTGTCATTTATTTAATGCCTTAGGAAATCTGGCTTATAAAAATCTCCTAATTTCAGTTAATTTTGAAATGATTATTTCAAAATACCCATTCAATCTATAAAACTATCCCCAACTTCTTCAATTATCATTAAATTAAACAAATATTATTTATAAGATTACAGAATTAAATTAAAAAATTTTAACAGTAAAAACTAAATCATTTTTAAATAAATAAAATTTTGTTTATGACTTTGAGGGTGTAGTTATTAGATTTTTGTTGTTATACAATACATTATTGTTTACTTATATTTATTATATAAAAAAAATTATTTGGTTTTTGTGCGTATTTTTTTACATTTAAGTACAATCCTAATTTAAATTTACTGCATTGTTATGAAATTGAAAAATAATTTATTTGTTAAAATAATTCAAAAAATGTTAATAAAATATTCTAAAATTTGATTACACTACTAACCTTCCTAGTGTTTGAATTAAGAAATTTTCACGCCTAAATTGTACGAAAGAAATGAAAATTAGTCCAAAAAATTTCGAATATTTCTACCGTTTGTTAGATATTGACAAGCATACAGGATGCAAAGAAGTTCAATATGTCTCTTGTCTCTATTATTTTTAAGTAATAAATAAAAATAAAAAGTTGTTAAATACTATACCTTCTAGGGTCCTTTTTATAACAATAAAATAATATGCTGGGTGTTTAGTTTAAAAAAAACCGAAGTGTTAAATATTGATGCTCCTGTAAAAAATCGACTGAACAGAATGTCTGATCAAGGACAGTTTCTCGGAATATCTTGATTAAAAAAACAAAAACGCGATATTATTTTATTTTATTCGTTATATCCTCAACTGTCATACTTCATTCCTTTTCTTTGGTCACTCTAACCAATACAATTTAAATAAGGAAAGTACTAAGTACGATACATCATCGAAAAGATAATTTTATAGGAAATTCAGCAATATAACAAACTGTTAGTATTAGCATAGGACTCAAATAGTTTAAGATTCTTGCCTCTATAGTTAAGTTAAAGTTAAAATTATTAAAAACATTGCAGAGCTCTAACATTAAAAACATACCAACTTTAATTGTAATCAAAAAAAAAATGTATCATTCAAAATATTCTGAGATATAGCTGCTAACAGCCCTGAATCATATGTTAAAATAAACTTTTGATCAGGGGTGGTTTCTCCATTGCTATTCAGTTTTGGTGATAATAAAGGACATTTTTTTAAAATAGCGTGATTTAAATGATATAAAAACATTTTCATTTCGTTAATCTTCATATTTAAAATTATTAACTTAAAATTAATTAAAGTGCCTCCACTTGTCACATCACAAAATAGTTTGTATGTCGTCTCTACTTATTTCATATTCTATCCTCAACATTTTCAACTTTTCAATCAAGCTGTCAAATTCTAAAAATCAACATGGCAATCTTAATTGTCTATTGTATTTATTAAAAATTAAGTTTAAATAAAACTGCGACTTTAATAAATCGGAAGTATGTGTGTCAATTCAACGATTGTTACCGATAAACGTCACAGGTAAAAAAAATACTATTATTTTTGAGGTTATATTTATTTCCATATTACGCTTGTAATTATTTTGTTTTTTGTTCCAGGGTCTACAGAATAGTCATGTATTTTATACTAAACTATGCATTGAGCAAATTTTTTTTGTTTCCAACATAAGACAAACGAAGTTTCAAAAAAGTACGACAATTTTATTATATATTTTATTAATTAAATAAGGATAATTTCTAGAGCGTAGTACAATATTATATGAATCATTGTTTATGTTGTAGGTTGTCCCTTGAATTTATAGAAAAATGCCCTATCTATAAATGCCAGAGGTACTGATAAACAGTGTCAGACTGATATAGCACTGAGGATTTTATAAACTTATATTACAGTTTTTTAAAGACGATATAAAATATAAATATTGCACTGGCCTAAATTAATTCAAGAAACTTAATAGTTGTTTATTAGTTAGGTATGTACCTATATCATAAGGACTAAATTAAATATTTACCGATATCTACCTGGGAGGTAAACTATGTCGACATAGTGCAGTTTTATAATGGTTATATTTTTAAAATCGGCTCATTGAGATATTTTCAGGGGAATTCTATAGGTTTGTTCTAACAGCTCCATTCTGATGTGTCTGTGACTCGTACATGGATTCATTCATAAACTTATCACTGCGCATGTCAGTCCGTTTATTCGTCCGTTGTTTAATCAGCGACTTGTACTTGTTGGAACGCAAAATGCAATGGAATTGGACAAACCAAACACATGTTTGGTGAATAGGTATTTTAAACATTATATAAAATACAAACAAATATATTTATTTAGCTGCCTCAAATGATCTATGTGAATGTATAATTTTGAAAACTATTTATTTTTATTAAAAACAAATAGCACAAACGAGAAAAGTCAGTTGACTAACTAATAATGTTTATAGATGGTTATCAACGTGTTAAAAACAAAACAAATATTATAACTAAAATATTCATTTATTCATTCAATAATAGTTATAGTGCTTGAAAATAGTTTAATATTGATAATAATAATAACTACACTTGCACAAGGTTTTGAACCGAACTTACAAATGATCAATTATTGGAAAAAGTGAACACCCATTTTAAATTACCACAAGCCGGCACTGCTTTTAATCCTCTCAGATGTTTTACCTAAACTTTATCTCTGTTCTTATGAAATATTTTAAATTAACTGTCAATAAAAAAATGTTTTAAATAATATTTATCACAAACAATTTTTTAGTACATTTTTTTGGAGAACAATAAAAAGGGATGAGTCATTTAAAATCATCGACATTTAAGCTGCCCTGATGTAATGGGACCACCTGTATATTTTACAGTACTTTAGAGATATGCAACCACTTTTATTTAACCCATTTTCTTGTATTTCTTATTTTAAGGGACTTCTTTGCACTAATGAGTATGTATCTAAGTAAAATTCTGAATATATTCCATAAAAAGTTGGATCCATATGGGAATTTTTTTAACATTAACTTTGGCAATAGGTACTGCATTAGTTATCGGTCAAATTCAGTATTTTTTTAAATCGTTATTTTTTTTTAATTGTCCATAATGTCAGTAGCCAACTTTGATAGGGGCTATTTTTAGTTTTTAAATAGGCAGAGGCGACTGCCTTAAAAAGTTTTTTTTTCAAATCGTAATATTAAAAAAAATCCCATATGGATCCAACTTTATTGAACACAGTGTATAAACAAAAAGGTGACTCCTGGGGGATAAACATTTTAGAATTTTTATTTTGAGTCACTCTTTGTAACGAAGTGACTAAAAATCGATGCTTGGGAATTTTCTTTTAAAAAAATAATTAAAGCTATATGCAAAATTATTTATTTAATTTTAAATCATACAATGTGGAACAGCCAAAGTGATTTGTGGCATCTCATCTAAAAGGCCTTTTTATTATTTATTCAAAAATGCTAATCGAGATACGTTCATTATATTTAATAAAAAAAATTAAACACTAAAATTTTTATATATTTACCTAAATAGTTGTCCGTCATGACTGATATTTTCACTAACCAATTATCACAAAAATAAAAAAAATCCGAATAATCACAAAAATTACTGGCCGAACCACCTAAATGTATCTTTCACAAAAAAGTTATTAACAAATTGTTACAGCGTTCATTCACTTTAAACAATAAAATGTAAATAAATAATCGGTTCGCGGTTGAGCGCGATTTGTAAAGTCAGTCAGATTTGGCAGACGCGCTTCCACTAGCAAAACAAAAACCTGTCGTCGTATTTCTACTTTTACGCGCTCCACTCAATCACTGATTCAGATTAGTGATTGGGACGCTCTTTTAAATAAATAATCTTTCTTTTGCAATATTATTAATTATTCAGTGCTGCAGCGCATCAAATAATCCAAAAATACGGAATAGGATTATTATTTATTGGGGATAGGTATTCCCCATTTATAAATAGCAGCAGGCTTCTCTGAAATTTGACTAGCCGTAGACCAATATGTGGTTTTTTACGTACCATCCATTCGTTATCTGAAGAAAACGGAGAATCAAAAATCCTAACTTTTTTATTCCAAATATCATAGGCGTACACGTACTTATTCAGTAATGACTTTTTTAAGAAAAAAAAAAAAACAAAAAAAAACTAAAAGTTTCGGGGCTCGAACCACCAACTTGCTATCCAATTCAGTGGATAGCCAAAACTTTTAGTTTTTTTTGTTTTTTTTTTTCCTAAAAAAAAAAGGAAAAATATTATTGTTTTATTATTTCACAGTCTTGGTAATTTAAAATGTTTAGTTTTTAAAAAGTATATACTTATTCAATGCATAGTGGCGCATAACGAGGTTCATTCATTTTTATGTTGGCCGGCAATTAAACCCCGGAAAAAGTATCTGCCTTTTTGGAATTAATTTTTTTTATATTTAATTTAGACGTTATTAAAATTTCAGCGTGATTCAAACACTTTAAATCATATTTAAAAAAAATTAACTTTGGGGTTGATTTATCAATTATAAACCCTCTCAAAAGTGTCTGCCTAAATTACTAGTATTTTTAGAATTACCTAAACTTTCAATTGTTGTTTGTTGGCCTCTGAATCAAACACTTTTTTTTGGGTCATATTTTACGACCCTTTTCTATTATGCGCAGTACTTGGTGTCCCGGGGTGGGTCTAGCCAACACAGGTATATCTGCTTTTCCATCCAAATGATTTCAAATTACAAAATTTCAAAGTGCATCAAACACTTAATGAAATGTGTGTTACTAGCTCTCCGGCTATACGGGAAATATGTAAAACACACAAGGTTAGAGTAACAAAATAGAGGTTTTGCTTTATTTCTTAAGAATAACTAATCTAAAACTTTTCTAGTATATTGTACAATTTTATTCCATACGTTATTTAGGTACTGCATCTATATAATAGGAAAGTATGTAGTTTTAAATATAAAAATTTATAACGGATATATACTTAGTGACTTGTTTTTTTGAATAAGTTCAAGTATGCAGATGAAAATCCTTACTTTTTATTATGAATTAATTTGAATTTATTTAAAAATGGGAACTATAAATAGGGTTTTCGTAGTTTTTACATTTGTAATAAAAATATCAAAGTTATGTATATTGGCCATTTACTACACACAGCAAATTCATAGACACAATACATATCACTATTTGACATTCTTATTAAACTCACTAATTTATAGAATTGACTTTAAACTAAGTGACTACACACAGAATTGTTTATAAGCAGACATAACGTACAATTTATTTAATGGATACTATAAAAAATTAATAGTAGTTATATGTAGAGTTAAGTAACAAGAAATTTAAAAACAGAACAAACCTTTATATCTAGTGAACTTAATTTAGTACAGTCCTCAACTTTCTTAAGCTAACATTAAAGATGTCTTTCCTTCGGATGTAATTCAATGCCTGTTGCGGTATTAGCCAAAGGAGTAGTTGTTTTTTTGAAGGGGAGACGGTCGTTGTATTTCGTGTGATATTGGCTTTGAGCTAAATTAATTTTATTTCATTAAAGATATATGTTTGGACCTCACTAAGAAACTCATTGGTAACAGCCATCATCTTGTTAAAAGAAGATATACTACTTGGATCTAAACTAAATAATTTTTTGATACTTGTGATTCTTAGATTAATCTTTGCCACATTAAAATTTATTTTATTTATTTATTCAAATAGGTACAATACAGAATTACTATTCTAAATGGTACACAAAATTAAAATATACCTATATGTAAAATCAATCAACTCGGTTAACAAAAATATACCACATAAAAAAAAAAACAAGAAACACAATAAAAGCAAGACAGTGATAAAATAATAATAATAATTGTCATTTATTGAACTGAAAATTCAGTCCAATAGGCTATCGAACAGTGATAAAATTGCATACAAATTAAAACAAAATTATTTAGAAATGTTCAAATTGTTCTTTAGCCGCTAAAGTTTAGCATATATAACGTTATATTAAATAAGTCATAATCGGAGTAAAGCTTATTATATATGTATATAGTCAATCAATCTTTGTACTTAACTTTATTTAAAATAGAGTACAAAATATATCACAGCCTGTTGCTTTCTTCTTTGTAAAAGAGATTTAATCTTAAAGCTATCGAGCATAGTTTTATATGAGATCTTATAAGGGTACAAGTTGTTTTTATGACATAAAGGTATCGTAAAAATATTTTTTGTACTTTCAGGTATGTAGATGAGCCACAGGTAGTAAACCTGAAATAAAAACAATTATGATATAAATGATCCGAAAAGTAAATAAATTACTTATATGTTTATTTATATTATTTCGTTTGATTTTAATACTGCTCCCATCTATTAAAGTAAATGCTTCAATTTTCTTTGTATTTGCCTTCTACAAAGAATTGGCTCATGACTGATTACATACCTTTTTATATAAGAGCAATAAGCTTTTCCTCAAAATGCTGAGAAGAGACGTAACGAAGTTTAGCTAAAAATAATTTTTAAACAATTTCATTAATGGTTTGTAACCACTATTCATGGTAGGAGACCTAAAAAATAAAAAGCTTTAGAATACAACAATATGAACATAAATAAAGTAGTTACTGTTACTTACAAATGGAAAGATTTCACATAAAATCACCAAGTAAAGCAAGGTTTTCGAGATATTCATTATTTGTTAATGGTTTTGTTAAGTGTAGGTTCGTAAATAATAATATCTTTGGGAACTGACTTTGAGTAAATATTATAACATAACCACTAAAACATGACTAAAACTATTGCGCCAAGATGTAGGCAACACGTAATAAGGCGTCAAAATGGCGGAGTTTTTTTATCTCCTTTTAAAAGGCACTCAGAAAGCTGCGCAGTGTGACCATTCTCCGTATAGTAAGAAAAAATCGAAGTTTGTGCTCTGTCTAAGCTTTCGACAGTGGCGTAATCATACATCTGGTTCTTTCGTTCGCTGTTGGTGCAGTGTCCACCAGTGTAAATTACACCAGTTACACCACTTTTATTTACCCAGTTTACTTCCTCCTTATTCCTGATTCTCATGTTGTGTGTAATTCACTCCTGCTAAATAGCTGGTGGAAAAATATCCACCAGTAAAAATAATATGCTATCCTGAACGTATTCTTGCACACAATAGTACTTCTGTCAGGGGTCGGTTGACTCAGTGGTTAGACTTTAAGATCAAAGGGTCTCAGGTTCAAATCCCGCCGTTGGAAGCGATTTTTATTTAATTTAATAATTCTAGCGCATAGGTAGGATTCCCCACTCGACCATTAACTCTTGAGATCTAAGTAACAGTGTTGTTCTTAAAGTTACGCTAGGAAACAGTAACAAAGCATACACAGAACACGAGGCTAATAGCCATAGTAGTTGATGCCGATGACATCAAATTAAAAAAACACTTCTGTAATAGTACATTTTCTGTACTTTCTTTTAGTATGTTTAAGAACTTCACTTCTTTAATACTTGGGGGGTAGGCGTACAAGTATATAATAACTTTTTCTTGTGGGTTATTCATGATTTAAGAATTTAATGGAAACGTGTCCATCTTTTCCTTGATATACCGACCCCTTGTGGTCGAAATTAGTTAAGATCGACCCCTATTAATTAACACAAGTTCTTATTTGAAAGTTTCAAGAGTTGTGTGTGTACCAACTTGTTTGCTCAGTATTTGACTCATATACGCGATTTATCACGCAGGAAATCATGAACAAGGTCAAGTCCACTTAGGTTGAAAGTTCATTTGCGTTTTGAGATTTGTTGGAGCGTGAATGATTATACACTCGTCTACTAAGGTATTTCAAAAGATTACAAAGTGATTATACATAGTTAAATAAAGTGAATTAAAATAAAGTGATTGAAAAAGAATTTATAAAGTGCTTAGTTATCAATTAGTAAGTTCGTGAGCATACCTAAAAACATCCAATGCCTAGGTGTGATAAAAATAGGCTCGTGTGCAAGTTTAACAGTTTTATTATTGTTTTTAAAGTAGTTTCTTAAACATATTTTTTTTTATTTGCAGGTTTACTGCTAGTTTTATGATGGCAGACACGAAAAGAAAAAATATAGACAATACAGTTTGAACTACTTGAAGTTTAGATTCAAATCAACACTTGCCGATGTGTCTCATGTATGAAAAAGTATTTAACAACGATGCTATAAAGCTTTCAAAAATGGAGAACCACTTATCAAGAGTACATGTTGCAAAAAAAGTAAGCCCTTAAAGAAAAGGTCATCCATAAGATCGATGTTTGCGTCATCATATATGTAAGACGTTGATGGTTTACGAGAGTCCCATAATATATCTTTACTAATAGCAAAGTTGGGGAAATCCCACACAATTAGAGAGCAGCTTATTTTACCAGCCATTGCGGAGGTCCTCAACAATGTGTTGCACAAGCTCGCACATGATAGTATAAAAAAATTCCTTTAAGCAATAAAACCGTTCAGAGACAAATAGGCGAGATGGATCGTGACGTGAAAAATATTTTATGCAATTTATTACAGACCAACAGATTCTCCTCTCTCCCGTTGGACGAGTCTACATTACCCGGCAATGAAACTCTGTTGTAGGATATTAAAGATAAAAATATGTGCCACGAACTGCTATTTACTACATATTTAGAGACTGATACCAGAGGAAAATTGATTTATCAGGCCGTGGAACGATTTTTACCCACAAATGTATTTCATGAAAAACATTGTTTAGATTGCACCAGTCTTTACAATATGTTATAAATGCTGTAAACGAGATTCAAAGCCATTTTTTGAACTCTCGGTTATTTGCTCAGCTATGTGAGAA